AAAGCGCAAATGTATAATCCTAAATCTCCGAATTAAATATTTAAATTTAAGCGTAAATGTATAATTCTTATCTTCTTTCACATATGTAGAGTATTTTTACCAATGGAAAAATTACCTTATTTTCAAAGTTTGCTTAAAAGTCATTGAAATTTCATAGTGATATTTGGATAATTTAAAAGGTTAATTGAGATATGATAATTTTAATGGCTAAGATTTTAAGAATCTTTGAGGAACCGCCTATAGACACGGTAATGATCGAATTTAAGCAGAACACAAAATCATAATAGGAATAAATTCTTACCTTCTTCAAAATTAACAGAGAAAATGCCAAGATGAGTATCAACAACTAATATAGTTTCATCATCTAAATGACGAAGACCCAACGGTCGACCACATTGCACTTCCGTATCAAATCCACCATCTCAACAAATAGCGCATTTGTTCGGAAATTTTAGTTAAGAGGAGTAAAAATTTAGAAATTAGATTTAAATAAAAAAAATAAATTTTAACCAACAAAGGAATTTCTTTCATTTATTGGCATTTATGAAATTCCCACTTTTCTTCTTAATGGTACACTGACACTCTACTAATTATTTCGGATATTAAAAAATAAAATTTACGGTACAAATGAAATTACAATACCTCAGGCGAAATTTACACTTTGGTAACTTACTTATCATCTAAACTTTTACTCTAGATGAAGTAAAAATAACCGCATAAATCAGAATTGATCGATCCAAATCTAAAAGTTTTTTGGATAATTCCATTTTCAGTAGAAATTACCATTCCATTTTGCGTTCCTGTTTTAATATTATCTAGAAATAAAATTAGATAACAGAAAAAAAGTGAGTGGAATCAATGATAATAATAGCAATACTGATGATAACAATGATATCATAGTATATATTGAAAGTGTTTTGAATGGAAGTATAAAATTATTTTCAACTTGCGACTTTGAAAACTGAAAAATAAAAAATTTAAAGAAAGGATTTTTATGATAGCCAATCTCAATGATTAAAAATATTTTACTAAAAAATATGGAGTGATTTTTGATATACTTCAAAAATAAACTAACCTTTTTCGACAATAATTGATTCTGGACCAAAAATTTTATGCTCCAAAATATAGTCTGCTTTTGTTAATATATTATTCACCGCTAAAATACCTTCTAGCTTTGGTGGCTTTGGCAATCTAAAATAATTTCACAAATACTCACTAACAGTTATTAGGATATCGTACGTAAGATTTTCCTTAGTCTTTCCTGGATCAGAATTTAAGTGCGATTAAATTAATAATTAAAATTAATAATTAAATTTGCGATTAAATTAATAAGAAGTAAGCTTACTGATATATTATTTATCGTATCTTTAGTAATATATTAATCGTAACTTACTTACTGATATACTATTCACCCTAAGCTTACTGATATACTATTTGCCCTAAGTATACTGACACATTATTTACTGTAAGTTTACTGATATATTTTTCGTTATTAAAATTAATTCAAGCATTACTTAAAATAATAATAATTAGAATTAATAGATTACCAATTTTCCTATCATCAATTAATAAACCTATAAGGTCAAAATGAAATCTTTGTTACTCTTTAACAATTCCAATGTATTTCCAATAACTGATAAAGGATTAAATTTTTTGATCCTCAATTTATCACCTAAGCTCTTCTCTCTCTTTCTTTTTTCAGAAAATTACAAAAACTTACTCATAACGTTCACAATGAAATACTGATGAAGGTGTTATAATAATAAATACAATAATGGCAATAATTTTGATCAAAAAAGCCAAAATAAAATGTTTGCTGGAAAAAGGAAAAGGATAAAAAATAAAGTACTACTAATTTAATGATGTTAATGATAATGAAAATTGATAAACAAATAAGAAACTTAAAGATAATCGTAATCATTATTTATTGAAACATTTAAATATATCCATTTTTAAATTCTATCAATCTATTTGATCAAACTAATTTGATGCTATCAATTTATTCCTCCCTATTTTTCAACTTCTTTTTTTTTTGAATAAAAAAAATGTAGAATAATTGATTTTTTAACTGGGTCCTTATTTGGACAGGAAGAAGAGAGAATAAAAATTTCACCATTTAATTTGGCTCTTTTTTCTTGGATAAGAAAAAGAAAGAATAAAGAAGTCAAATAGATTGATTGTATTTAAACTTGGCTCCTTTTAATTTGGCTCTTTTTTTTATAAACAAAAAAAAATGAAAAAAGGACTTTTTTTTTAAGAAAAGTAAAAGAATAAAGAAGTCAAATAGATTGATTGTATTTAAACTTGGCTCCTTTTAATTTGGCTCTTTTTTTATAAACAAGAAAAAAATGAAAAAAGGACTTTTTTTTAAG